CCTCCCCCTCCCCACAGCCCTGCCCAGCCGGAGGTGTCAGCCAGACAGCTGTACCGGCAAAGGTCTTTTAGTACAGGCGAGCCTGAAAATACTTTTTTTTCCTGGTACCGCAACAGATTTTTAGTTGCACTGGAACAAACGCTGTTAGCTGAACACACGCCTCTCTCCTATGCCAAATAACAACCGGCACAACTTGGCTCTCCCCAGGCTGCCGTGTACTTCCAGAGAAAACTCCCAAAGTGTTGCATTATCCTCAACTTCCCTCGCCCCCACCCCAGCAGCACGCCTGGGAGGCCAGCTTGTTGGGTGTTATTAAAGCACATCTCCTCCGAATGGCACGAATGACTCAGAGCACCTCTGCGCTAACATTTTCCATGCAAAGCGGTTCAAAACAATTAACTGGGGGGGAAAAAAAAAAAAGGAGAAAGGCTTACTCTTTAAGTTCGCTGTAAATCGGGAGGACTGACGGGTGGCACACAAACGCAAAAGCAATGGTGGGCAAGGCGTACACGGTCTGTTCAGAGAGAATTTCAGAGAAAAAGTTAAGAAGTATTTCCCCCAGCGGCATGAAGAAATGATCCGTGTTCCACTACCTCAGCTCCCAACTCTCTGGACTCTTCAACCAAACGTTGAGAGCCTTTAGAGAAGGCAGAAGACCTGTCAATTAGCATGTATTTAATGAAATATGCAGAGCAGCGCTCTTTCAATGGGAGGACAAAGTCTTCGCGTTGGTCACGCGAACATAGTCCTGACTCTGCTTGCAGAGCTGGATGCCATGTGGCTGCTGGTTTTGCTCCCTGGGATGGGCTTCCCTGCCCAGCTACTGCCACCGTTACTAGCACACCGTCACACGTAAAAGGGACGTATGATGGGTCATTGCTACGCTACCCTGCCTTGGCATGGAGAGGGGTGTGCACCCGTGGTGCTAAGGCTGAAGTCCTGAAGAGGAAGCCCATATCCAGACTGTAAGAAAAGAGAAGAGGAATGCAGAACTTACAAATAAATCGATATTTCAAGGTACCAGACTGAGTCCCTTCATTTCCCAGGCCAACAAAAGGGCTAGGAGGGCTGTGGAGGGAGCATGCTTTTCCTTGGGGAAAGAGAGAGACCGTTACGTCACCAGGAAGTGCAGGAGGTCTCCGAGGGGGACCTCACCCCCTTCTCCACCAAAAACCTGAGTGAGTTTCAGTACTCAGTGTACAGCCAAACTTCACAAATGATCTCAGCGCCCAAGCGCTTCCATTCTCCCCAGGGAACGGGTACGAGCAGAGATCACATGAAAACCAGATCCTCCTGTGAGGACAAAATGAGTCCATTCCTACATGTGGCTCTCCTTGGCCCTCTGAGATCTGCTTGTGCTGGCCACAGGCATCCCCTTCCCACAGAAGCCACCCTGGGGTATGCCCCAGGCTCGACAGATTCAGTAAATACACTGGTTGTTCTCCAGAGATCCTTCCTCACTCAGGCCTGTGCTGCCTCCTCTCCCTCACTCACAGCACACTACTGTTGTGGAGTTTGCATCCATGGAGATAATGGGAAATTGCCTGGATGCTGTGCTGGGCAACCAGCTCTTGGTGGTCCTGCTTGAGCAGGGAGGTTGGACCAGGCGACCTCTAGAGGTCCCTGCCAACCTCAGCCATCCTCTGATTCTGTGAAACTGTCTCTTCTCTCACATACCAAAGTTGCTAAATTGATTTGCAAACTGCTGGCCGCAAGGGCTAATCTTGAGAGTTCAGCTCCACCATGCCTAATTCAGAAGGACCGATTTTTCTGATGTGCCTGTGTCCACTCTGAGGCAAATGCTGACGCTTACTGTAGGAGAAGGTGGCTGCACTTCAACGCTACCTAAAATATACCTACACCTAAGCTGCTATTGCACACCAAGTTAACTAATTCTTGGTCCATCACACCGGATCTGGGCTGATGGCTACCCCCAACTAAAGAAAAGTGCTTGGTTTGGCTTCTTCAACTGAAGCTGGTAAGATGAATTTAAAACAATTTAATTTTCATACGCATGTGCTATACATGTGCATTCCCTACGAATGTGACTGCGACAGCCTGAGGACCCTGCCCCGCTGGATATGGTGCTGTTTCACGAGCACTGCACCCCAGCACAGGTGACAGGAGCAATCCTCCTGCTCCCACAGCTACAGCCAGTTGCTCTTTCGCATTCTCTTGGCACAACTTTTCCTGCAGCTGTATGGCAATGGCGGAAAGCATCCAGCTGAAAGGCAATCAAATTTTTGCTGGATTAGCTTTCAACTGTCTCCTTTTCCCAATCCAGTTCACCATATGGCTACAGAAACACGTACTCTGTCACAAAGAAGCGATTTATGTGCAGAAGGACAGAGGGATTACTTCTGGGCTTTGGATACAGGAATGGCTTACTCAGCCTCTGCTGAACTACAGCCTCAAGGTCCAGTTGCAGCACAGACAGTAAGAAGCAGTGGAAAGGAAAATGCTCCCAAATAAAGTGTTTGTTGTACAGTGGGTGGTAGCTCGGGCTCACAGCCTTAGCACGTCTGCTACTGGGGCAGAGCAAGACCACAAGGAGGTACACTCAACACGGCAATCTCCATAAGACTGGGCAAGGACACCCACTGTGCATTCACCACTGGAGCACAAGCGGAAGCATGGACAATCAGGCCCTACATGGTGCTGATCAGATTAAGAACACAGGGTGTAGGTGCATATATTATGTGAAGTAAAAATAAGTATTATAAAAAGAAACATACCTTGGAATTAAAGATAACATACTTTGGCTTACACATATGTTCATGTGCTGAGCTATTTGATAGGAAAGATGATGTTGTATTTAGCTCCGATCCACCACAGGGAATTTGAAACTTCTTGTAAATAACCTAGAATGAGAATGGAAGACAGCTAATTGCTAAAAAAGAATAATAAAAAGCAAATCGAAATTAAAAAGACAGAGAAATTGTGAATATTCTGTCAAATGACTCTTATCCAACAAAGAAAGCAAGCTGAACTTACCACTATCAGGAAAAATACCATGCAGCTTAATGAAAATCCACTGGTATAGCCAAGATACCCTGAAAGAAATTAAAAGGAAATATCATACAAAATTGTTTTATTAGCCATATCTTGGTTTTTACTTCTTCTTGCTGCTTCATGAGAAGTTTAAATGTATTATACATTTAATATGTATCGTGAGTTTCTGGGCAGGACAACAGCATGTCCCGTTGGTGTGGGAGTCTCCCACGTTGCAAGCCTCTGGCTTTCAGACAGAGCTCAGCTTTGTTCTGACCAGTTTGACTTTCTGAGGGTCACCTTTACAGCAGTTTAATCACTTTCACTTTTGAAAGGGGATTTGATAATTGAAACAAACCTGAGAATGTGCAGTTGCAATCAGAACGTGACCCAGATTCCCCGATACGAGCCACATCAGCTGAGTATGGGTCATTTCCTCAAAAGGAAGATCCCAACAGGACTTCAGTGCCAAAACTTGTTACATGGTTTTAAAAAATACATTGTGTACTTACTGCAACTCTGTGGACTGAAACACATTTGAAAATGCAATCCTCTATAGACATCTTACTTCAAAGCCCAACACCTCCAATTAACCTCACCACTAAAAATTTTGATGCTGATAGAAAAATAAGTTATTTTTTGTAATCTCACAATTTGTGAATTTATTTTTCAGACTACACATAAAACAGAATTGCCTTATGAAACAAAGACACTCTTAACTATCATTTTTTAAATAAATTTCCAGAATTGTATGGATGAAGCTGGTTTATACTGAGTTCAACTGCTGTGACAATTTAGGCCTACTTGTTCCTAGATGCTCAAAATACAGCTTATTCCTGGACCGGGAAGGCTGCTTAGATTACAAGGACAGGCCCTTTTTTTTTTTAAATTATGGTTGAGTTGCCAGTGTGGCTGTCAGTGGCATGAAGTCTAGGGTCCTTTATTTTATTCCCACAATGGCATTTACATCTTACCTAAGTTCTTAAGGAGACATAAAGGGAGGATTATACCAAACGTCACTGTGACAACAAGAATCCGCCCATCCACGTACCATGCCCTGTATAAAACATTAAAAAAAACCACACCGTGAGCACACCTTAAACCTTCTCTGATTTTCCTCACACTCAGTCATCCTCTTTGACTGCTGCAGTTACGTAACCATCTTTGGTCTCCTGACCCTACAAGCTCCTACAAAAGGAGATATGGGGGCCACATCTGACCTTTGTAGAGTCATTAAACATCCAGCCCTTAAAATGTGGCACTGCTCTGACTCAGATACGGCAGGTTTTCATAGTCACTGGAGAAAATATCACCCTAATGCTGGGATCACTGAGTGGGACTGAGAGGCAGAACAACACCTGCTGTAACCTGATATAAGCCACCCTACCAGGACAAGGAAAGATCGCGCAAAGGCCCACATACAGCACGGGGCGGGGGCGGGAGGGGGGAACACGATTCATTGCTAAAGCACCCGGGCACGTGCCTGGAGTGGCAAACCAGGCTCCTGCGGGCTGGCACGCACTAGCCAGCCCGAGGCTGTATCTCCTTCTAGCAAAGTGCTTTGAATTCTGCTGGAAAGCAAGAAAGGGGAGAAGGGACAGCGTTAGTGATGTTCTGTATGACCTAATTCCACTGCTCAGTCTAATTTAGTATGAAAGACTGAAGAATAGGATCTCTACCTTCCTCTTGTGCACCGCAGCACACCACATAACCTAGTGCAAAGGATATTTACCACTACAAAGAAATACCACCCTCTATTAAAAAAGTCGGCAAATGTCAAGGAGTGATTAAGTGGCAGAAATCTAAGTATAATATTCTGCTGTTGTCATAGGCTAGTATCAAAGAATTTCATACTATGGGCAGTGCTTCAGGGGCAAAATCCTGTAAGATGTATGCTAAGAATGCAGGGAAATAGTATGTTAAACTTGTATTGTTCCCAATATCTTCAAGTGTTGCCTAGAACTGTAGAAGTTTGGATCCTATGATAACAGGTTTCTATAAATCACAATTTTGCATGAAAATCTGGTATGTGGAGACAGTAACTACTTATGACTTAACCTTTTATTTCCTATCCATCCTCTTTTCCTTCCCAAAGTTGTCTTGGTTTTTATCAACCCCCTGAGAAAAGCTACTTTGACAAATCTGAAGAGCTTTTATAAACATATTCTTAAACTTACCCATACAATGTTAAAATTCTATAATCAGTAAAATGAATTCAACTTACGAAAAAGATTCTTCTTCTCCCATTAGAAACTTTATGGCAGAAGGCAGCTCATTTTTGACTATGAAGAGATAGCTCAACATTGCTGGAGGAAGAAGAAAGTCAGTTTACAAAATGGATAAGATATTTTGTGGAATAAGTACAGAGAAACAGCCTGAGCCTTTTCCACATCAGCCTCTGATAGAAGACCCCGAACTATAACTGACTGTAAACTACTGATCATTCAGTAATACGGCATTTTTAAAGGGCTGCATGCAGTGTTAGTCACAGCTATATTGAGGGGCATGAAAATCCCAAGATATCACTGAGGGAAGGAGGAACCTGACTGGTAGGTAGCTGTAACATTAAGATGTTACTGGGTTTTGTTTTCAATAGCCCTCATCTCCTTTACCTCCAACGTTCTGGAGAGACGTAGATCCAAAGACAATCATTTTCCCTGGGGTACCAAAGACCTGCTCACCCAGCTTTTCATACACCATGCAGCCTGCATGAAAAGAAACGAGGAGAAAGGTAACAAATACACCAGCGAAAGCTGTCGAGTCGAAACACTTACGATTTTTTTTCAGCTAATCACTCATCTCTGCAGCAGTATCTGCCCTTTGCAAGTAAATAAAAAAGCTGTCTTGTAACTACTAGGGCTGAAACTTATGTAGGAATGTTTTCTTGACGTCTGTAAATGTTATCGTTGGCTACCAGTCACTTTTGAAATTGAATCTCTTAATGAGGCTATTACACCCCTTTAATGAGTCCATCTATACCCCCAGTGACATGTTAAGTTCTGGTATCCCCAACCTGGCATATTAGGTTTGCGCCCACAATGAGTGATGCAGAAAACCTCCTCTCCAGACAAAACATGGTACAGCAGGATCCACGAGTCGGCACTGGCAGCCTGGCCACTGCAGACACAGTACCATGATTCTGCAGTTTTTCTTGCTTTGACAAAACGATCCAAAGGAGGGCAGCCACTGGTTTACAGCATGATTTAAAATTTCTAATGATGAAGCTTTAACTTGTGAATTCTCAGTGCAGTATGTTGTGGTGGGTTGACCCTGGCTGGGGGCCAGGTGCCCACCAGAGCTGCTCTATCACTGCCCTCATTCACCAGACAGGGGAGAAAAAGTACAATGAAAAGCTTGTGGGTCGAGATAAGGACAGGGAGAGATCGCTCACTAATTATTATCACGAGCAAAACAGACTGAGCTGAGAGAGGGAAT